ATAATGTGCCATTTACCAGAATCGAATTACAAACAGTGATTTCTTGCTCAGGGAATACTGCTGTAGGACCGGATAAAATCCACTACAGCATGGTTAAAAATCTGTCGAACAATTCCTATTGTAATCTCCTGAATCTGATTAACAGAGTAGGGACAGAACATACTTTTCCTGACTCGTGGAGACTATCAATTGTTATCCCCATTCCAAAACATAGTAAAGACTGCAAGAATTTCTCTAATTACAGACTAATCTCTCTTACAAGTTGCCTGTGTAAACTCTTCGAGAGAATGGTAAACAGACGTCTGATATATCTCTTAGAGAAAAAGGAATACTTTTCACCATACCAGAGTGGTTTTCATAGTAACAGAAGTACCATGGACAACTTAGTAAACCTTGAAACTTCTATATGTGAAGCGTTTGTTAGATGACAGCACTTAGTGTCTGTGTTTTTCGATATAGAGAAGGCCTATGATCGCTGTTGGCGATACGGGATACTCCATGATCTGCACTAATTCGGATTGTGGGGTAATTTGCCAATTTTTATAAAAAACTTTTTACAGAATCGAAGATTTCAAGTCAGGATGGGCAACACTTTATCTAGGCTCTTCACACAAGAAGAAGGTGTTCCTCAAGGTTGTATTTTGAGTGTGACTCTGTACCTAATTAAAATTAACAGCATAGCTAAGTGTCTTCCTCCCAGTGTAAAACACTCTTTGTACATGGATGACTTTCAGATCTCCTGCCAGTCTAGTAACATGAGTTTCATTGAGAGACAACTGCAAACCTCCCTAAATCGCATAGACAATTGGTCCAAGACCAATTGTTTTACTTTTAACACAGAGAAGACCTTGTGCATCCACTTTTGCCAAAGGCATGGTTTGCACCTGGATCAGGAAATTTACCTAAATGGGGATAAAATCCCAATGGTCAAGGAGGCTAAGTTTTTAGGTGTTATATTTGACCAAAAACTGACTTTCTTACAACATTTGTGCAACTTGAAGAGTAGATGTTCAAAATCTTTGAACCTTTTAAAAAGGTACTGTGCTGCTTATCCTGGGGAGCAGACAAATGTTCTATGCTCAGGATTTATAGGGCCCTTTGTCTGCTCTAAGTTGGATTACGGATGTGTTGTGTATGGCTCTGCGTGAGAATCTACTCTTTGGATGCTGGATCCAATCTATCATCAAGCATTGCGTTTGTGCACTGGTGCTTTTCGAACCTCTCCTGTGCAAAGCCTGTACGTGGATGCTTATGAGCCTCCACTATCCCTCAGGAGGGAACAGTTGTTTCTGTTTTATTATACAGGTATACCTCGACTTACGTCGTTTCGAGTTACGTCGTTCCCGATTATACGTCGTTTATCAAAAAAGTATATAGAAAAATAAAAATCAAGTTTAAGTCATTTTATTCGACTTTGTCTGTCCGCCACAAATATTGAAGTCGTAATATCACTAGAAAAGCGTTTAAAGCACATAAAATCATATTAAAATATATACATTTACAAGTATATACTGTATTTACAGTACATGCATTCGTAAATTTAGATTACTTTTTTCTGTACTATATCAAAAACTAAAATTTGTTTGTAAGCTTAAAATAGATCCTTATTAACCATACATTATTAAAAATGCATTAATAAATAAAATACAGAACCGGAATTGGCAATTTATGGTTTAGCCTAGTGACAAGTAGATTTGGAGACAAGTAAATTCGACTTGCGTCATTTTTCGACTTAAGTCGTTCTTCTGGAACCAATTACCGACGTAAGGCGAGGTATACCTGTATTAAGAAGAAATCCGAGATTAAATCTTCAGTTGATTATACAATATCAGATACTCAGCTGGTAAGATTATTTGCAGCTCGCCCTAGAATGGATAATTGACCTGGACACAAGCACAATTGATTGACCTGGACACAAGCAACATTTCACAGGCCATGGTTGATAGTATATCACCTTGGTCAACTCCTGTGATAAATGTCGATTTTAGCTTAAAGCAATTTCCTAAGGAATCCACCCCAGACTACATGTATAGACAGCACTTTGCAGAAATTCAACATCGTAACAGGAATTTAATTTCTTTATACACTGATGGATCTAAATCAGATGATTACGTTGGCTCAGTCTTTGGCTGCCAGGATGGAATTGTGGCATAACAAATTGCACCGAATTCATCTATCTTTACTGCAGAGCTGCAGGCTATTTACCTAGCCTTAAAGTATGTAATTAGAAATCATTGTTGCTGTGTGATTTACACTGACTTAGTTAGTGCACTTCAGGCTTTGATCTCGTCTGAACCTAGTTCTCACTCTATAGTGATTAAAATCCATAAATTGCTGTGCCATCTTTGTGCGAGTAATTTCTTTGTAAAATTTTTTTGGGTCCCAGACCACGTTAGTATAAGAGGGAATGAACAAGCTGATGCAGCTGCAAGGGCAGCTAGTCCTTCACAGCATACAATGCATATTGAAGGAGGTGATTTGAAGCTAGTTGTTAAAAAATGACTAGCAGAGAGATAGCAAAATGTCTGGAACACACAAATCCACAATAAACTACACGAGATCAAACCTGTGATAGAAAATTGGACACATAATAAACAGTATGATAGGAGATCTGATGTTATTCTTACTCGTTTGAGAATTAGACATACTCGACTGACTCATCAATACCTTCTGAAGGGTGAGGACCAGCCTGTATGTGAGTATTGCAACTGCTTTCTAAGTGTAAAACACATACTCTATGAATGCTTTGCCTTTGAGACGAGGCATAGACAGTATTTTGGAAATTCAAGTCTGATAGTGGCAAGGCAAAAGGCCAAATCTTGAAAATATACTGGACTTTTAAAAAGTCATTAATATGTATAAAGAGATTTGATTATTTATTTATTTATTTTACAGTTTTACCTACTTTGTTTTGCTTATTTATATTGTTGTTTATTTATTTATTTAATTTTGTCATATGTTTATTGTTTGTCAGGTTTAAACATTTTCTACCATTTGCCTTGATGCAGCTTAGCTTATATGGCTCTTGTGCCAAAAAACCAAAACCAAACCAAACTGTGCAGATGTATTGCCAATTACACTACCTGGAACTCCAGTCCGATCTCTTCTTCCAGTATATATAAGCTTACGTACGACCATCCAGGTAGCATAATTGGCAATGCATCTGCATGGTGAGCAGGAGTTGCGGGTTAGAGTCCCGCTCCAGGCCGATTTTTTTTTCTTTCAGATAGTTCTAAATTATTTAAAATTATTTAATTAAAATTATAATTATTAAATTTAGCAAGATATGGCACCTAACGCCTAATCAAATTGAAGATTTGAAATCTAGAACCAAATTGTCTTATAAATTATTATTATTATAGCCATTTCTAGCCCGATAATATTCGGCATTAGTTGGTGGATAACTAATATTTACAAAACTTCCTGAATTGGTTTAATATATAGTAGCCAGCAACATTTCCACCTAATTAGAAGAAGTGTGATTCTGTTTTGAGACTTTGAACCTATGCATTGATTTCTTCTCTTTTGCAATGTATGTACAGTACATATTGACATTTTTTTTCAGTACAGGCTGGTTTCATCAACATTGAATACTTTTTCTAGACGGTAGACTTTATTCTCAATAATTGTGGGCAATTCTGAAGGAAATTCTGCTGCTGCTGCCACCGCCACAGTCATGTTTTCACTTGCAGCCTCCCAGCTCATTTACATTTTGCAGATTTGAATGTGCTTTAACACTATAAAACCACCATGATTAGCCATAAAGGTATCTTCTATAAAACACTCGCCTTGCTTTTTTCAGAATCTTCAGATTTATGGCCTTTTACTGAATTAAATTTTGGATTATAGGCATGTGCTGTTGATGCTGATCTTCCATCCAAACTCAATAATTTTTCCATATTTTCCATCACTGCACTTTTCTTACTAATTATCATCAAATACATTGGTGTAGAATTTTGAACACGTTCCAAAATGCATTCCTTGTTTTTTAAAATTACTGCATTGGTCAAACAATTCATCCCAAATGTACTTGCTGTATTTACAGTTTTTTCACCTAATGCACTTTGTTTTATAGTATCCACTTTAGTTTTCATGATACAGTAATAGTAATGCTTTTTTGCATTTATTGCCACTGCTAGATTCATTATGTTTTGGAAACATTTTAAAGCACTGATCTTAAAAGTTTATAAAAATTGTAAACAATACTGAAAAATGCTATTACAACAATGTTACCAACTTCAGTATTACCTCATGAGTGGAAATGGAATCTCAGAATTCGTGCAAAAATGAAAAATGACAATATGAAATAGAAATAAGCACATATTGATTATTTTTAAAAAATTTATTATTTATTACTAGCCAAGGATTGACTTCAAAACCACAAGTGGCAAAAGAGCTTCAGAATCCACACTGAATTTAAATTTTAGACATATGGTCAAACTATTTGTAAGTCTGAAAGTTCATAAATAGGGAGTCCTTGTGATTACAGTAGAGTCCCAAAAACTCGGCCTAATGTGGACCGAAGGGTGGCCGAGTTTGTGAAAATGCCGGGTTATCGGGAATGGGGTTAAAAAAGAATAAGTACGAGTGTTTCCTCAGAAAATACTGTACTGTACTTGTATATATTGTTTGCTTGAGAATACAACAGAGAATAAACTGCCCAAATACCCTTAAACAAAGGAAAAGTATGTACTTTATGAAGGCCTAGAGCCTTTACTACATGAAATGAAAAGTAATGAATGCACAGTGTACAGTAATTTACCCGATAAGACAGATCTCAGAAAAATACCTTGAGGCATAAAGCTGTCTATAATGAAAATTAATTAACTAAGGATTTTTTTTTGCCCTGCCAGGGTGTGGTTGAGTTATCCGGACTGCCGGGTTATCGAGTGCCGAGTTTTCGGGACTCTACTGTACTATGTAATAAAATAAGTAAAAACTTTTTCAAATAAATATATTATAAATGATTATTTTTTAATAATTTTAAATAAGTTTTTTAGGAATATCCTTTCATCACAATGAAACAATTTCCAATAGGATTTGTTCAGTACATAGGTGGTGTGGTATCTGCTCGATCAGTTAAACTTCTTGGACAGATCAATAATCCAGGTAATTTAAGAAATGCTTAAGATTTTGTCAACTAATATAATTGATGCCTTTTATTTTATAATTTTCAAATTTATGTGAGCATTCTACTTTGTAACACATTGATTCTTAGATTGTGGGAGTACAGTAAACAAATTGTTTCTTTTTCACTAACTTCCTTTTTTTTTATAATGCTTTCATTTTCTTCTCTTTACTCTAATAGTCATGCAGATGTGTTATTGAGCTTCACAGTTATTTTTTAAATTAAAATGTTCTGTTCCAGATTTCATCTTAGTGTTTTAATTCTATATTCTTATAATCAAACCTGACAATGTTTGTTGTATGTGGATGAAAATGTTTAAAGAAAGGATTTTTGATTTTGCTTGTTTTTTGGTGTGTTGCATAACTCTGCTTATAGTTCTGACCGGTATTGCTCCTGACTTTTCTTGTATAGTCAATAAAACTTGCATAGTACTTTTTATTCAGGAAGCCGCAATCCAATGTGAGGGATTTTTCTTAGTTAGAGATATCCCTTTTGGCACTTTTTGAGTTTCTTCAGTCTAACATTTTAAGAAGTTTCCATTTGACATCACATTCAGTTTAATATTTTATAACATTCAAATTCTTATCATACCTTAAGATTCCAAATTCTGAACAATCCTGGACTTGTAAATTAAACAAATACTTCAAAACCTGTATTTGACACCAGTAAAGAGCTTTAATTAAATATGTTAAACTGATGATATATTAAGCTTTTGGAGTATTTGGTTACCTTATGGTTAACATAAGCAAAAGTTTTCTTTTTTGAAATCAGTAAATGAATTTTTCTAATTGATTAACACCTAAAATATATTTTTTTGCTGGGTTTTTGGATTTTTTTACTTGTGTTATATACCCCAAAATAACTGGATAAATAAATAAAACTATATTACAAATCCAAACTCTAGCAAATAATATATAGTTCTTAATGAAAACAGACTTTTTCAGTGGGCTTTAGCTACATCAAGTTATGGCTGCCTTTTGAATGTAGAACAATGTTAAAGATGGAATGCTATCTTAATTTAAAACTTGGAGTGCCATGTGCACTGGAACCATTTACATGTTGTGTTCTGATTTGTCAATTATGCCTATTGTGTGTCTGGCCTTGGGAGATGGTATTCTGGATGACATTATTTCAGAACTGTCAACTATAAAGTCAACTCCCAGGCACAGGCCTGGAGAGCATTATTTGAGATTCAGAATTTTTCTGCCATTAGTGGGAAAATGGTTGTTGCAAAGTGTTTACAAGAACTTCAAGGAAGAGCATGAAAAAGTTGGCCAAAGTGGTTTGCATTAGCCTGAATGAGAAACTGATGTAAATTTGGCTTCTGTTTCCAAACAATGAAAACATTATTGACATACCTGGTTTATTACAGGCTTTTTTTTGTCTAAAGAAGGAAGGATGTTGTGTTCAAGCTGTTGTATAAATTTCAGGCACTTTTTCTGAGTTGGTTATATGACAGAACACGTATATCAACTATAAGGCAAGGACTCCATATCACTAGCTTGGAAATTTCTGTTTGATAGCTCATAAAGAAATTTACATCACTTTTCATTTTTGTATCATTTATTTTTCTATTACATAATCGATGGCATGCATATATTCCAATTATATCTGTATTCCATCAACTTTAAATTATTTGTTGACAAGAAATAAAATCATACTGCCCGATGTTCTTACCAGCATAGAGGTATGAAGGAGTACACGTCAAGAGTCGATATTTGACACAGAGTATTAGGTGCGCAAATCATTCGCGCATAAAAAATCCAGACTCGTAGGTAGTCGGGACTGAGAACCGAGTCAAAATAAAATACAAAATGGCGACCCTCTTCTACAAACAGGCAAAATGGCCACTTCACCCCACTGAAGTCAGGTAGGGAAGAGTACCACCTGCAGTCATTCTAAGAAGTGAACTCTGACTTTAGGACCAAACATGTAGTTTCTTCTACGTTAAATAAAATTTGTAATCTAATTTTGTAAATTTGGTAGTGCTTCAAATATGATGTTAAAACAGTTTTATGTCTTTACCAGTGGGTTTTTTTTAACAATATCTTGTATAGTAAAATCGTAGGACCGATAAAAATTTGACGTTATATTAGGGTCGTCATTACATTCGACGATGTTATAATCGGGTTAAAGTGTATATTGTTTGCGCAAAATACAATAATAATTTCGGACGATACAATAGCCACGATCATTTTTTTCAAAACAGGAACTTTTTGTTACGCATCGACAAAAATTCGACCCGGGCCGACACGCAACAGAGAAAAATTTTGAAATTAGATAGGTTAATTTCATCAAAGATGCATCGTGAATGATCTTGTGGTTGTGGCCGGCGAAGTTTGAACAATCGTGCCCAAAAGCAGCGATATCAAAGAAGATAGGAGAATGAGAACGAGACCTGCCTTGAGCATCAAAGTGATTCCGACTTTGAGACATAGTCTTGTCCCAAATATGGTTTTGCCGTTTTACTTATTTCATTTTAGGTTCTAATTTCAAACATTTGCAACCTGAAAATGACCATTAAAAATGGTAGAAAATGTTAGTGATTGATCAAATTTCTTGATATTTGATAGATTTTTGATGTTATTGATATCAATTTATTACAAACTTCCAGTTTTTTATTGTTTCCTATTTCTTGATGTAATTGTGTTTGGTTTTTTGACATTTAAAAGATTGAAATCTGTAATAAATAGGAATTTGACTACTATTGCTAACTGCACTATTAATAACTACAGTAAGACTAACTTTACAGTGCAAGAAAAGCTTATTTTTTGAACGTTTTTGGTCTTCTTAATAGATCAAATTCCCAAGGAAAGTCCCTTAGGAATTTGATCTAATTAGCTTTACATGTTAAAAGACTCGGGCATATAACAACATAACTTGCTAGATCTGGCATTTTTTGGCCTACTTAGGTTCTTGTCAGAAAACCCCAACTTCAATCAACCATGAATTTTACATAAGTGATAATAGTAGACTTAAGGTCAGGAATAATGTAGTTGAAATAAGCAACAAACAGTGATTACTCAAACAAAACTTTGAAAGAAAAATCACTGTTTAATTCTGAAAGAGTGAAGCAATGAAGTTGCTAATCCATTTTACAATAGCAGAATGGATGATGAAATGATTAGCAATTACATGTAATAAAAGAGAGGGACTGCCATATGAAATGCCCATTCTAATGTCAAAGCATAAAATGCATGCTGTTTTTATTATTTTCAAATTTTTCAAAATTTTAATTGTGTCATGAGTAAATTAGTAACTGTGGATCTTTTTGGATACTAGTGTATTAAAATGTTTTTTGCATAGCAGCTGTGAAAAATTATAAGTAATTGAGCAAATTATAAGTAGTTTAGTACAAAAATTAAAATTATTATTAAAATATTAAAATTATTAAAATATAAAAATATTAAAATTTACTAAATTACAAGTAATTTAGTAAATTTTAATATGAATTATGATTTTCCTTAGGAGTAGCAATATTTTTAGAGGAATACTATTCACAGAAATGAAACCTGATTTTTGTATTTTTAACGATATTATTCAAAGAACTATAGTAGCAATAGGTAAGGTATTGATTAAGACATTGTGGGAATTGAGTAGATGCCATTACATGTAGATAACTTTAAAGTAGCATGACACACCTTCATATGAAACAGAAATACTGGAAAAATGAACATAAGAGAAATATTTATGATCACTTTAAGTCTAAATTCTTTATCTTTGTTTTGTTTGATTCTCACAAACTTTTGTGAGAATCAAACAAAAAGGAAAATACCCAGTGATACGATCATATTAGATTTTAGGATGTGTCAACTTTGACCTGAGAGTGTGTCAACTTTGTAACGTGTAATTTTTTTGAAGCTCTGAAACCACCTAATGTATGGTGTTACATAAACAAGAAAATGGAATTGAGGGTTGGTTGGTGCCAGGCCCAGACTTTTAAACAGGCAAAAAACACAAATGAATTTGTTCAATGAAAAAATTGGTTAAAATATGAAAATCCCAAAATAAATACTTGACTGTGTGTCAAAGATAAGAATTAAATTTATTATTCTATGATCTACAATGTACAATAATTAATAGTAATAAATATGAAATAAATTAAAAAAAACAAACTGTACAAGTTATAAAATTCAACGATACTTTATCTAATCTAAAAACAAGTCTGTACAAAAAAATTAACAACAAATATGAACAGGGAAAATTAAATTGAAAGATATTTCAAATATCTAAAAACCTTGAAATTTATAAAGCTACTAAGAAAGATTACTTCTAAAAATGCAGAAGTAATTATGGTAGTTTTTTTTAATTTTTACCCACTAGTCTCTAACAAATTCTTCCCTCAAAAAACTCAGGACTTTAAAATAAATCCCAGAGGAGAGAAAAGTTTTAAAAATAATTTCTGGAGTTTAATCAATGAAATATGAACTTTATTATGTAAATAATAATTAATCGTAACTGTCATATAATACTTCTAATTAATTATGATTTTTTCCATTCACATAACATATATATATATATGTTGTGTGTTATATATATATCATAGATACAAGATAATCTGAAAATATTAAACAAAGTAAAGAATAAAATGGAAGGTAAATATTAAGATATAATTATTGTGAAATTTTTGTATTTCTCTTCCATTTTAGAGTTTAAAATTCACTATTTCTGTAACAGAATTTTTCTGTTACAGAAATAGTGGGTCTTAAATTTGTGCTTGTGTGAATGTAAAGTAAAAATCAAACTTGCTATTCAGTTTGATTTTTACTTTAATTTGTGAAGTTTGATTTATGTGTTTTTTAGATTTAATGTATTAACTTCAGATCCTTTACTTAAATTCTTGAATAACTTCTTTAAATTTATTGTTTCACTGAAAATTTAGAATACCTCAAATGTGTTGTTTTATAATTTTAACAAATGGCAATAGAATATTTTAAAAAATTCTTAAAAATTTTGACAAAATCTTTTTAACATGAAGTTCTGAAATAAACATTATAATGAATTTTTTTTGTACTGTAAGGCTTCTTTTTATGCGGATTATTTTTATGCGATTTTGAAGTTGTGTGGTTTGTATTTTATCCAAAAATTTCTTGGACAAACATACATATATGCTTGTTTAGGAAGCCCGCGTATAGACAGTCTCCAAAAATCGTGGAACGCTCAAAGCTCACTCCATTTGTTCCACTGACATATAACGTTTACGGATGTAAAGGACAGCTAGATCTACCTTAATCGCTTTAGTTCCTAACAATTTTTTATATAAATGTAATTAAACATAAAAAATACTTAAAACTGAAAAAAAACGAAAGAAATGCATTAATTTTGAAGAAAAAGCTTCAAAGTTTAACTTCCTTTGTCTCGCCCTTCTGTGAAATTTAACACCGATGAGTCATTGTTTACACATCTGGATGACCTTCAACACAGCTGGAGTTGGATTTCCCGGGGCATTCTGATAGACGTCGCGGGAGACAAGGGTTTAAAGTAGGGTGAACACTAGCTGGCCGTATATTTTTAAATATTTTTAAAAAATTTGGAGACTTAAAAAACATTCCAAAAATTCAAAACAAAAATTCAAAAATGGCCTTAAGGACCGTGTTTTATGTAACGCTATGTAACCTACCCGTGTTAACTCGGGCGAGGAACTAAAGGTGTTTTAATTAACTCTTCACATCCAGATGTCAGTGATTTGTTTTTAGAGTGAGCTTTTGCAATTTGGGAATTTCCCTTGTATTACTTTTCAATAAAATAAACTGAATTAAGATTGAATACAAGTTTATTTTAAGCTTTTATATGAATTTGTTTCAGACATTTGAAGTAATTTATTAAGCAGCCTATTTCTTTTAATTTCTGCAAAATTTTTTTATGCGGTTTTAAGTTAATTCTAACTCGTTGTTTTGGTTTTATGCGATTTTAGAAAATTACAGAACGTATCCCTACTTTTTCAAGGAAAGTAAAGTTTTTTTTTATGCGAATTTTTTATATGCGCTTTTCTGTAGAACGTATCCACTGCATAAAATGAGACCTTACAGTATTTAGATAAATAATAAACACTTAATTTATTTTGCAAGTGGCAAAAGTATTTTGTCTAGTCTTTTGTTTATATTTGTGACAATTCATAAATCTGTATTATTTATTAAATTACTAGCAGATGAGCATTTGCTCAGGCAAAAAGTAATGATAGCAAAGATTAAAATTATTAGATTATAGCCAATCTTATCCATTTTCACTGGGTGCAAGAATTAGATTCACTTCTTCTGAGACTAATTAGAGAATTTTTAGATGGGTCTAAAAATTTGTTCAATTTCCTGCAAAAAATGCAAAAAAAACTGCATTTAAAATAGTACAGTAGAATCCGACTTCAGGGTAATCCTTAACCCTCTCTCTCTTCTCCACGGGGGAATTTTGAAAAATCCCCTCTTAGTGTGCATTGTCAAGATGTACCCTAACTGTGTGTCAAATTTCAACTTTTGACTCATAACCGTTTGGGCTCTGCATATATTATCATCATCATCAACCCATCTCAATTATATTATAAGATTACAGTAAATGAAGGGATGCAATTTAAGTTTAGTCTTTTTTTATTTTTTATTTTATATGCTATTTATTAATAAGAAATTGAAAGAGTTGCAGAATTTTAGTAAGTGCATACACATTATATATTTCAAATTTGAAAGTATTTTGTAGATGAACCAGAAACTAGGGATGTTTGGTGGACTGAGTTAAGAAAAGAAATTCGATCTCACACCAGAGCATTGGCTTGCAATGTTGTTTTAGGATATGTTGAGTCTACTGACATTAAGTAAGTACAAATAACTGTCTCAAAATTAAAATGTGGCTTAAATATGAAATTCAATAAATTTTATTATTCATGTCATTCATATTTAATATAATTAATAAGTTATGGTTATTTTATATACAAAATATCTGATTCTATATCTTTTTTTGAGTGGAAATGAAGTTATATAGAGAAAATTTGGTAATTAAGCACAAATCAAAACAAATTAAGTGTAATAAACCAAATGATTGCTGTAATTAATTGGGCTATTTTTTGCTGCTATTAATAATTAGATGTTAAGTAATTTGGTATTACAGGTAGATGTGTAAGTTCGCTGACTTCTAGGGGGAATCATTAATCCTGCGTCAGGATGATCTAGGGTCGTTCGCGTGTGGGTGTAGCGGAGGAGACACGGATGACAAGAATGTCACAGAAACCTGTTTATTTTAAACATAAAATAACAAAAATGTTCTGTATACAATTGGAGGTTCGAATTGTCATTGGTGTTTCTAATGTTGCTTGAAGGAAGGTCCCGGGGCAACGGCAGGTATGGAGATTCATCAGTCGGTGTTGGCGGTCTGAGTCCATAGTCACAGGTTACCAGTTGGGCACAACAGATGGAAAACTGCTTTTTTTGCATTGACTAACCGCGCACTTTTTTGCATTGACTAACTGCATTAATTTGTATAATTAATTAATGTTTTACTAATTTAACTAATGTTTAAATCATTAATTAATTATACAAAGAGAAAAATACATTTATACTCGGGTTTGGAATATGTATTTACAGTAAGTTTTTTAAAATTATTTTTATGGCTATGTAAAAAATTTTAACTTACACAATAACTTATCTTGTTTTATTATTATTACTTTTTAGTTTTTGGTAGTAGTACTGCTGATGAGGGGCATGATAGCCCGAAACACTTGTAACATGTGTACAGAAACTATTACTACAGGTGATATAATAAAGAAATTTTGTTCTTTCCTGAACTAACTCTCATTGCTGTGTCAATCTTTAAACACCAGTATTTCAGAAACTATTACTACAGGTGATATAATAAAGAAATTTTGTTCTTTCCTGAACTAACTCTCATTGCTGTGTCAATCTTTAAACACCAGCTTATGTCCTATTAATAAATTAAGTCCAAGTAGACAATTAAAAATAATAATCATCTCCTTTAGTTGGTTTATCAGGTTAAACATGGCTTGAAATGTTCTAGATGTAGATCCGTTGGAAATACACCGCCACACTCAAAACAGTTCAGTATATACACTTTATTTACAAATTGTACAGATGCATCGTGCTTTGCACATGAACATACAAAGGGTGATGCTTTGTGTTCCTGGATGACCTTAGGGAAATAATCAAGTCTTTGTGAGATCTTGGTCAGTGGATTGGCTCTATCTCCACTGTTCGTCCAGTCTCAGCACTTACTCATACACGAGCATAATTTCATGAGGAGTGCACTCTTTCTCTTTTTATCTTCAGTGGATTTTCCAAGTACCCGAAACTTTAGTGCTACTAGTTCTGAGCCCTTTTCACCACTGTCCTTCTCCCCCTCTCTCCAACATTTTTAAGCCCATTTTTTGTCCAGGAACGTTCAATCAATCACGACTCTTCTTTGGGAGAAGATTACAACTAGGTTCACTTGACTCAGATGTGGGTGAAGCTTACTTTTACGTCTGCTGATCTCTGATGTGGGTGGTCACCCAACTGTTTACTGCCAGGTGTTTACCACCTCCTTAATTAATTAATTTATGACTGGACCACCCAAGTCAATTTAATGAGATTGAAGCTTCATTTGTTTCAAAATGTATCCTTTACAGCAGGGGTGTCCAACGTTTTTGTTTCTCTGGGCCACATTGGAAGAAGTTATGGAATTTTGGGCCAAAGTAGCTTAAGAGCAAAAAAATGTAAAATATATAGTTTTCATATTTAAATATTTAAAATTTATTAGAATTTTTTTTATTAGAAATATAGAACATGGAATTTGTTTGGCATTATTTTATACATTTTATGTATAAGCTCAAATCATAAAACAAATGTGATATTTGGCACAGTTGTTGAGAAACTAATATGTCAATATCTGGTTCGATTGAAGTGGTTGCAATTCTCAGGCAGCCCTCAAGGTGTTCATCCGATATTTTTGGTTCTAATTTTACACTTAGTATGCTTCATTTTTGAAAATAGTTATTCACATATGTAAGTGCTTCCAAACAATGATGACATGAATAATGCATGACTGTGCAGTGTGGGATATATATCTCTGGGTAGGTATGATTTATAAAAATCAAACAAAGAGACGTGACCAAATTTTTCTTTAAGTTGGATGTCAGATTGCAACTCTATGCACTCCATTTGAAAATTTGCTGGCAGCATTAATATATCAACTGTAAATGGAGTCGCAAAAATACAAAAATTCAGATTATATTTCAGGATTTTTGGAAAAATATTTTTGAATTTTTGTATAAAATTGAAAAGTAAGGCTGCAAACTTTTTCCATTTCTAGGAATACGTTTAAACAATGTGTTGAAATGCAAAAAGTTGTTCGCATTTAATTGGATCTGCCATAATTTCAGTTTATCCGAAACGTGTTTATGATTTGAAATATTGCACTGATAAGTTGGTTTTTCCCTTGAAGATGTGTGTTTAAGTCATTTAAATGACCAGTCAAATCTACCAAAAATGCTAAATCTGCAAGCCAGTTGGCATCGTCAAATTATGGCACAGATTTTGCTTTCAATATCATAAAAGATTTGATTTCATTAGTAGGTCATAAAATCTTTTTAATTAGTATTTGTCCTCGACTCAGCCACCTTACTTCTGCAAAGTATATGATATTGCCATACTCAGCATCAACATTTTTGAGAAATTCTTGGAATTGGCAATGATATAATCCCCAGGTTCTTAAAAAATTCAGTCTTGACGACGATTTGCATAACATGATCCATTTTCAAAGCTTTTCTGCAAAAATTTTCTTGGTGTAGTATGCAATGGTACTTCATCAAACAAGAATTTTCGACAGTAATTGCATCATCTTCTATTAATTTTACAAGTCCTTCTTTTTTACCTATCATATCTGGAGGCCCATTTGTAATTACACCAGATATATTGGATAGGGATAAATAAAATTGCGCGTTAATGTTTTTTTTACTGCTTCATATAAATCTCTTGAGTTTGTTGTGTCTTTTAATGGCACTAATGAGAGCATTTCTTCAGTTACACTATATTCATCAGTAATACCTCTAATAAAAATGGTGAATTGAGCCATATCAGTAGCATCAGTACTTTCATCCATGGCCAAAGAATAAAATGTAAACCCACATGCTTTACTTTTCAAATTGCTTTTGATATATTTCCTGAGAGTGTCATTTCTCCTGGCAATAGTTTGATGAGACGCTGATTTTAGAAATATCACTTTTCTTGTCTGGGCAAATTATTTCTGCAACACTTTCGATGCATTCCTTAATAAACTCGCCATCAGAAAATGGTTTTGATTTTTTGATGATTAAATTTGCGACTACGTAACTAGCCTTCACAAAGGATTCCGTCTGAGTTGTAATGTTGCTAAAAACCTTTTGTTGAGATATAAGACTTTTTTCAGTAACATTACTTGGTCTTTGTGACACATTTCTTGATATGCATCAAATTTGGAAGCATTTTTGTGCATGATGCCTTCTCAAATTATACTCTTTGAAGACAGGTATTGAAACATGACAAATTAAGCAGAGATCACCTTTCACCTCAAGAAAAAAAAATCCTGTGTCCATTTCTCATTAAATAACCTTCTTTCATTGATATACAGTAGAGCGTCATTTATCCGAATCAATTGGGGACTGGGGTTATTCGGATAACTTATTTTTCAGATAATCGATTATGTACGAAAAAATATATATTAACCTATCCCATGATGAAATTTTTCTCCGTTGTGTGTCGCTTTGTGTTGAATTTTCGTCGATGTTAAGCCAAATGTAAACTTTTTAAAATAATAATCGTGGCTATTGTATTGTTAAAAATTATTTCTTTATTTTTTACAAACAAAATAAATATATTGAAAAATATAAAAACAAAAAAAAATTATACTTTAGAAGTTAATCTAGTATCAAAAACATTTGATTCAGCATGACACACAATCCTCAGAAAAACACCACACAAAAGTGACAGTGCTGCCAGCTAAAACACACACACCAACAAAAAAATATATTGGAGTAGCCCAAGATATAGCCAAAGATTGCAGTGCCACAGCACTAGCAAAAATTTAAATTTGCTGACTGGAATTTTTTTGGATAACCAACTTTTGGATAAACGACGCTCTACTGTATTTCCTTTTCTTAGAAACTGTTTTTTGTTGAGTTGTAGAAGCCATGCTGAAGGGTAAATGTTCAATAATTAGTTATTTAAAACTAATGAAAATAATATGTATTTACTTACTTGTCTTAAAAAGAAACAACTATTAAATATATTTTAAAAATAATATAATTTGTTGTTTCACAAATAAAAACAAGAGATGATACTCAATATATATATTTCGGGCTTCTAACCAATCTTCAGGAGTTTACAGAGTATATTATATTATTTTTGAGTGGAAAGGAAAAAAGAAGGAATCAGCATTGCCAGATGTTTTTAGTGTTTGTAGCCAAAAATTTTTTAAAAAGTAACCATTTTAATAGTATCTGTATAAAGTTTTACGGCTTTGTGAAACTTCTTTTTTGAGGTTTATGCCATTGAAATAAATAAAGAAAAACATAAATAAATTTGTCAGTTTTCTTTACATGTTTATTGGGCTGCAGGTTGGACACCCCTGCTTTAATGTATATGCATGTAAAGTTCTAAGATCAGCCATCTTTGAATGGGATTGAATTGACAGACAACAATGATCTGGGTTCCAATTTTGTTACACTAGGTAACAAGTTAAGATCAATTAGAAAACAGATGAGTAGTGGACGAATTGGAATGATCATTCTGGGACCCAAAAAAGTTTATAAAAATGATTAATTTAAGGGAGCAGAGAGCTTTTCCACTGGATTTTCATACTGTGTTGCATCCTCCATAGTGAAAATATTTGCTGTTTCTTTAACTTGGAAACAACGCATATCCATTGTCATGGACTATCTCATGACAATGCCCCAGAGCCGACCAACTGTCCAATAAACCCACCGTCCAACTGCCCAGCCACCCCACCTTCATCCAGACATTTACATCAACCCATTCTCCAACAGAAGATACTGTCTTTGTAAGCATAATTTATACAATAAATCAGAAAAATTGTTTTTTAACTGGAGAGAGTTGTTTCTGTCATCAACACTTCCACACACGTTTTGGCACTGCTTGGATACCTTGCCATTATGCACGGTTTGGCAACTCTCACACAGGTATGACCATAAACTAGTTTTCTGTTGTAAATTTTGTCAGAAAATGTCAGATTTTCTTTATCAGAGTGCATGGCTAGATGGACTGTCCCATGGTTTGTTATGTTTCTAAAGTTGAATGAGTTAAACAAATTACTAATGAGTGGGCCATAAAGTACTAATTCAACTTAATGAGTATGCTCTGTTCTGATGATGATTCAGATGAAACACTAATGAAATTCATAAAGGAATGAGTTGATTTACATCATGAAGAAAATGGTGTCTGGAGATATTGATGATTCTAAATTCACTCAAATGTATAAGTTGTGGATTAAAAATGAATTATGTAATCAATTCAAACTTTTAAAAAACGTTTGATTTTTACTAGTCATTTGTGATATCGATGGTACCTGAGGATGTCTATTTCACATAGACAAAAACGTTTGTAAATTTTACTTTTTTCTTGTCATCAACTGGTGATGGTTTGATGAGTGGTATATTCTATAAATTATGCAAAGTTTTAAAATCAATCAAATATTTTTTGTATGTAATGTGAAACTTAGATCCTAAAGCTGTTGTAAAGTCATAAAGGCCACCAATTGTGGACCTGATATAGAAAAAGTTATATTAAATAAACGTCAGCAAATTTACCATTAAATGGAATATTTGGTTGTTATAAGAGCCGCTGCAAACTACAGGATGCGGGAGCTAGTGTACGCTCGGTTGCGCTCCCAAGCCCCGCCTTTTTCCCATAAGGCTATGAGCCATTTTTGCTAGATAAGCTACGTGGGCAAGAAGCAGCCACAAACTACACATCATTTGCTCACGTAATGTTATCCACATGACCTGGATTTCACAGATGTGGATTGGCTATAGAACAAGATTTTATTATAACCTACACTTGTAATCAGTCAGTTTTCATTCCGAACTTTGAAACAGCATGGAAAAAACATTTTTACTAGTTAAGCCTAAGTAGGCTTAACTAGCCAAAAGCTATTTATATATTACTATTTACATACAGCGTTTATACTATTTTCTTTTCAATACTGAATGTATTAATCATAGAATTTTATCAATGTACATAATTACATTATTTCTTTTTCGACATGTGACATGTTCATGTAGTCATCCGTCTTCCCCACTCTCTCCTGCTAGTGTAACTGCTCTAGCTGTTGAATTCTGTGAACAACGAGCGTACTCTTGTATTGCTGCACTAGCAAAGGAAAAACCACGCGGGCAAGAAGAAAAGGGCGGAGCCTTTGATGTCATCAGTTGTGCTAGCGCAAGTTTCTATCATTTTGCTCTCGCAAAGCATTAGTTTGCGGCAGCTCTAATAATCACATTATTATTTTCTTTACATTTACACAGAATTTATTGATATTTTTCTGATATAGGTTAAAAAGTTACGTAAAATAAAATTTATAAGCAATGTTTGTTAATTTAAAAAATTTTTCAAATTGAATGTTTGATTCATGATTTGGAGTTATTAAATTTTGAATTCAATTTTGACCCATCTTTGGAAAAAGTTCACTGTTGTTGTGCTGTCTTATCATCGAGTTAATGTTAAGCTATTGCAAAAATTAGCTTTTCCTTTTTCAATCTGAGTGCTAAAATTATTGTATTATACAGTCGACCCCCCTATAACGTACGTTCCTATAACGACAATTCCTATAACGTAGCGAAAAAATTGTAGAAACTTTGAATTGTAATTTGAATTGAATTGAAAAATTGTAGAAGATTGATAGAGTCTGGACCAATAGTGGATGAGCAGCCGAACTACTTACCTCCGACCCTGCGCCACGCTACGGAGCGGCTAAATTGAGTTTGCTATCGTCTGTTTAGTATTATATATAAATTATATATAAATTAGGTACTGTACATATAATTATATATTAATTATATATAAATTAGGTACTGTATATATAATTATATATTAACTTAATTTATTGTAACTTTATTATAATTATATATATGCTTTCTGCCGCCTGGCAACACGCTACGGAGATTTTAGGCTAGTAAGTTGAGTTTATTATCGTCTGTACAGTATGTAAATTAGGTACCGTAAGTCTAATACAGCACTAATTTTATACATTTCTTGTGAAAGAAACACTTCTTATTCAACGGCCATAAAAATTATTTATATTAATGATGTCTCCAAAGGTCAAGTTATTTTTCTGCCAAAAATTCGTTATCAGAAATTGCGGCCGTCGTTTCGTGTGCTGTTCCGCGATGAAAACCAGCTTTAAGCAACGGCGTAGTCGAACGGTACACACTCGGTAAGTAAATCCTATAATTTTTTGTTTATAGCATAGTTTATACAGATTATTCCCAAAAAATTATACGTATTTTGGAAATGTTGAGTGGAATTAGTCTAGAATCGGTTAATTTTATAGAAGAAAACCTTTCAAACAGCCTTAGTCCGTAAAGTTCCCACCTATTGGGCTGCGATTGGCTCATGTATTTAATCGTTCCTACAATGTAATTTTCGGTTAGCGTGGAACGTATCTAAGCGTTATAGGGGGGTCTACTGTATATGCATGTTTCTATATTAGAAAATCCATATAATAACTGATTAAAGATACACAGAGTGGAGAGAAAGTAATTAGACATTAAGAAATTGCTATAATTTCTATATTTCTAAAGTAAAGTTGTTGATAATTATTTGACATGTATCTTATTAAATCGATATATCAGATATTATTATTATATGGGTCTATATGAATAATGGTATATGCATATCTTAAAATTCAGTGTAGGCACTGAAGCTTACATCATCCACCAATGACATATTTCCTCAGATTGTGATATGGATGGACTGCCATTTCTTTATGCATTTGCAATCAAATTTGTGGTCATTAGCTTTGAATGACAATATTTAATTGTTTCCAGATGGATTGTGTTACAATGTCCCTTCATCATATGCCATCATCTTTACATGACAACTGCCGATTTCTGCACCTTATAGTGTATGGCAATCTGCACTTGCTCCTGAACAGACTAGCAATTGGTCATCTTTTATGTCACTGTACATGTGTCCTTTTTTGATCATTTTCCATACCATTGACACAAAAATTATGAAATTTCATTGATTGTTGTTGGATATGTTATTGATGCTTATAATGCTTAACTTATTTCCATTTTCTTCATTTTGTCAGAAGAGCATCTTTCTGATTTTTCTCTGTGACAAAAAGAACAGTTAACATCAGTTTACATATGATAAAACAACTAGTTTTTTTTAATAGTGTGCTTTTATTAATTTAATTTGCGTTAGTGAAACGTATATACACATACACAGTAGTTTGAGGTCTTGATGTCTTTCTAGCTGCTTTTCTCTGAAATTTCAATTATTCAAGAGTTTGTGGAAGCTTAATTTAGCACAACATAATTAACCTTGCTAAAATTTTTTCCTTTAAATATTTTAAAAAATATCCAATATGTTCAACCATAGAAATACATAATTTGTATGGTATCTCTATCAGCATTTTGGTAGCTAGTCAGAAAAACTTTGTGACAGACAAATTTGAAAGCTAATGTTTTGCCTGGATAATATAGATTACTTTGAGTGGGCTGATAAGAAAATCAGTGAAATGTTCTTTTCAAAGTATGTTTGTGGAGTCGGATCATGGGATACCTTTGAATAAAATGGAATGACAAACTTGATGATAATTCAAGGAAAAATAACATTTAAACTATCAGGTAGTCCTCAATTGAGAGTTTTTAGAGAGAAAATGATAAGAACTTTATTTTTCAGCAGAACAATGCAAGATTTCGTGTGTGTAAGTCCACTAAAGAGTTCTTAGGTGAACTCTTTAGTGGTCTTAGAAGAGAACATATGTGTGATTCTGTTAGACATCTGGCCCATCTGTTATTAAAATCTCGACAGATTGGCTCAATTAGGTTATTAGAGCAATGTTTTATATGCCTTTTGGCTAATATACAGTTGTCCCTTGATAATCCGACAGGTATGGGACCAAAGGTGTGTCAGATTACCAAAAGTGTCCGGATTACCGAAAATAATTACATATTTCACATTGTTTTGCTAGCAGTAACTTACAATATTCTCTACTCCAACTGTTCAAACAGAACTGGCTTATTTTTGATGAAATGTGTGTCATCGTGTAAAAATTGGATGGGGAGATTCACATCGCGACATGCTTCTGTGCAAGCAGACACGTAATGGGGACGGGTACCTTGACGGGAGGTGCGTCGGACTACTGAGCATGTCGGATTAAAAAACGTCGGACTATAGAGGGACAACTGTATTAAAATTGAGAAAGTGATAAATATTGAAATTTCTAAATATTCATTTTATATTTTAGTGAAGATGTTTGCATCCTCTCGGCCAGTGGTACTGCTGCAGTTCTCAGTGCTTCAAACGATCAAGATGGATTAAACTTCCCGGTAAACGCGGCCATAAACGTGGGAATTATACCGACACGGCCGAATGTAATTATTCCGACCGCAGACAGAAAAGAAGAAAAAGAATTGCCACGTGATAAAGAAAAACCATTAAGAGTAGATATTAATTTGGCAAATCAAATGAAGCATATTCATATGACTGAATGGTGATTAAAATGTTTTCTATTATATTACTAAAGTCTATGAAGTTTTTAAACAATTTTACTATGAGTAAAAACTTAAATTATTTTTAACAAGATCAGTTTATTTTTGATGCATTTGTAACTGTTTTTAGAAACTTTAGTTTACACTTATTTAAATGTTTAGTATACAATTTCTGTCTAATAATAATGTAATTATATTTCTAGTTACTAGTAATAAATTTCTTAAGCTTATTTTTAATATAAATTTAAAGTAAGTTATAATTAATATTAATTAAAAACTTTAACACATGGATGATTTGTAAAACTTGCAACCTGATAATGAAATATTTTTTGTTTTTATACTTGTATTTTTCAATATAAACACCTGAATCTCAATGCACTTCACAATGAGGCTTAAGTGCCTTTATTCCATCATGCAAGCCCAGTTCTTCAAGATTATCAAAATAATCATTTACTGCCACTTTCAACTTATCTCCTGATGAAAATCTCTTATTAAGAATTTTTTTAAGTTTATAGTATAGATGAAAGTCAGATGCAGTCAAATCAGGTAAGTAAGGTGAATGGAGTAACAAACTGTACAGTACTTTAGTTCTATGAATTTTGTCATAGAAAACACTTGTATGGGCATATGCATTATCTTGATGAGAAATGATTGTTTTCTTTGAAAAACCATAGTTTTTCTTTTGTTTAATCGAAAAGGTTAGCATAATATCCTGTTGTTCCTATTTTGCCATTTGGAAGATAACCATGAAAATTTTCCGTAACAGTCTAAGCTAAAACTTCACCAGTATGTGTGTTCGTTCTCAAAATCCATTTTATAGATTTTGATTGAACTTTGCCATTATCCATTAATTGTGATACGGAATCCAAAAATGCAATAAAAAAATAAAATAGGGATCCATGACTTTGTTTTTGAGATATAAGATCGTTTCACAAGCTCTCGCAGCAAAGTGACATTGCCTGAATTGTGCAATGTTTTATGCTAGCACATCTTGTATGGGTTTATACAATTGAGTTCGTTCTCAAAATTTAATGAATCAATTTTGATAATACTCTGCCATTTTCCATTAATTGAGATGAGGAATCCAGAAATTAATGTGGTGCTATTTAAAATTCTGGTAGTGCTATCTGTTATGATATTTCATTAAAGAAACTGTTTACATTTTTAATTATTATAAAATGGCAAAAAACTTAATTTTGAGAGTAGGGATGGGTTTTATAAAAAATTGTAATTGCTAATAACCAGGAAATCATCATTAACTTCAACTCTAATGGAGATATGATGCACGGCCCCCTTTATCTTCTCACCCGTCGACCTTTAATCACAAAAATTTAATAGCATGAATCTTTCTAATACACAAATCTTCCTGCAAAATTTTAGAAATTTTTGAAAGCACAGAAGTTATTAAGCTTTAAAGAGGGTGAACAAATTCATGTCCCCTCCACACACATTAACATCCACACATACAGAAAAAGAAAAACTGAATGTTTTTGCATTTATTGACATTTCAATGTCTCCAAGTCCAAAAATGTAAAAAACTTGGGAAGGGTCATTTTTTGACTAATTGCCATACTTTCCCTCTGTCAGGGATGCACAACCTTTTCTGAAGAAGGGCCAAATTAGGATTAAGTTTACTGACTGGGGGCCGGACCTCCAAGTGATTAATGTGATGGCTGAGATTGGATGCTGGCGGCAATCTTCTTGATGTCTAGTGTAATGGCAGATGTTGAAACAACCAGCTGAATTTCCAAATTCTCGTTGGTTAACCTGTTCCGTGTTTTGCACTTGTTTAAATTCATAAGCGAAAACGCTTCTTTGCATACATACCATGTTTCCCCGAAAATAAGACCTAGCAGAGGTTTTGCTGAATTGCTAAATATAAGGCCTCCCCCTGAAAGTAAGACCTAGTAAAGTTTTTTTTTACTCGTAACGGTCATCAACAGCAGGTTGAAAGTGGCTGTTGGCTTTTTGAAAGTACAGCCACTGATTGGTCAGCAGACAACACGCCACACAGCATGATTTGCATAAGACTATGGCTTGGAATCACAGATTTGCATAATGTTATGGCTGGTGATCACTAATTGGTCGGCCGGGAATCACGCCACATCACATTTGCATAGT